GGGGGGTTGTAGGCTCAATCATCCAGGTAGATAACAAAAAAAAGGTTAAATCTAAACTAGTCCAGATGACAAGATTTAACTTTTTTTGTTTGTTTGTCCTTATACTTAATTTATTGCTGAATCAGGAAACAATTGTAAATTTGAAGCCATTTCTGAAAACTGCATTAACACTGTAGTGAACTAAGCCTCAAGTCAAAACCTGATCCTGGGACAGGAACTGTTATTTCGTTGATTTGAGTCCAGAAATACAAATTAAGCTCATCTAGAGACTTTCTAAGTGTGTCCTGCTCTGATCAATTGAAAGAACACTCTCTTTTTATTATCATTACTATTTTACAATATCTTGATAATCAAAGTGTGTTTAGTTCAGATCATTTTTAAATGTTGAAGTGAACTACTCATTTTGAATCAACTGTGAAACAGTATAAATGATTTTTAATCCTCATTCAAAGTAGAAATCAAGTTAAAATGTCTGTTACAAAGTAATGATGCATTTTTGATTTTCTGTCTGAAATGAGAAGGAGTGAGTCGGTCAAAAGTCAAGGAACGGTCAAAAACATGTTTATCGGAACGAAATGTCATGTTTAACTCTCTCAGACAGATAGAAGGAAGACTGGCTCTTAAATGTCTCTGTTTCTTCAAAACATCTTTCTGTCTGTTCTTAAAACATCTACTCTGTCTCCTTGACATGTAATGACCCTCTGACGTCACTAAAACCACACCCCGGTTGGTTCGTTCAACCAATCAGGAAGTTCTCTGAGGAACCGGAAGTGACCTCTTTAAAAGGGTCGACACTTCCTAGTTCCAAGCAGAACAACGTTCCAGAGCAGAACAACGTTCCAGAGAGAACTAGAGTTCCAGGGAGAACCTCGAACGAGAAGTTCCTGAACGAGAGAAGTTCAGAGGAACAGAAGTTCCAAGCAGTTTCTAATGGAGTGACAAGAGTCCGTCAATGCCACGACGTCTCGCTGTGGCTCTACCCGACGAGCGCTCTGAACAATGAGGAAGTCTGTTCTGTGATGATCTCACGACTCCTGAGGTCACAGCTGTTCTTACGGAGACGCTGAAAAGAGTTGAAAGAAAACTCTACACCTAAGCCGAAACTATTGTCTGCAAAGGTAAAAGAGTCGATCTTCACTTGCGAGTGTACCGTGGGTTAAGCTGCGTCCAAAGGAGCGTGTTGTTTCTGGTTATACAGACACTTTCCCTCACCCGTCTCTCTCCATTTAAACTTCATTTTCCCATCTTTAAAACTCTTCTATCTGCCAGTAATTAATCCAGATATTTTCAGAAATGTCTGTTGTATTTCAGTTGCAAGTGAGAAATCATGGCCTTATGATTTCTCAGTGCAAAAGCTCATTAATTAAGCTGTGTTAATTGTAATCAATCTGTCAATTAATGTAAATGTGTGATGTGTTTTAAATCGTTTAAAATAAACGACCCACTGTTGTTGGTGAGTCAGAAATTTAAACACGTTTCCGTCCACATTTAATATTCAAAACACGATATTACTCAGTCCAGAAAAATGAAAGAATCCGTTTAAATTATGGATAATATCAGACGCATATTATCTCTCATTACAACTGGTGGCCCGTAACGGTTCATGAATGGACTGTGCTATTCTGTAACAATTGAATTTATCATGTTGGCATATCTGATCTTAACTGAAATTAGCTTAAAAGTGCCGATTTCTGTTCGACTGTGAAATGCAGCGTTTTGCAGCTGTGGTGTTCAGAGAAAATACAGTGATATGTTTCAGTTGTGGTGTTTTTAGAGCTGAAAGTAACGTCAATGCGTTCATCTTAAAGCTAAAATTTGTACATCTGTGGTGTAACTGAAGCTGTTATGTTGTGGTGAAACGTTTGATTCTGTTTAAACTTTTATCAGAAGGGGGTTCTGTTCAGACCCGGTTCTGTCGCTCGGTTCTGATTCGTTCGAACGAGTCGTTTTAAATGGATGAAAGCTGTTTTAAAAGCTGAGCGCCGTCTCAGATCACTGTTAAGAGCTGTTCGTTACATTAGTAGCAGTAAAATAGTGCATTTTGACAGTATTAATGGACAAAAGGTTGACCGGAATGTTCAAGCTAATGCTAACACGCTAGCTGAATTGACGATAAGTGATTGGTTGAAAACCGCTGTTTGAAACGCTCTGTTTCGCTGGAGAGACGAGTGACGTGTCTGTCGTCACTTCCTCTGATGTCAGGATGTAAAACCCACCCCGTTGCTGTCTCTGATCATTGGCTGATTCAGTCACGTGACCCGGAAATGAAGCTCGTCTTCATAGTGAATTTCAATCTGTTGTTTAAAGTTGAAAAACGCTTTAAAGTTGGCTCTGAACCGCTGATCCAATTATTAAAAGCCTAATCGCTGAAACTTTGCCACGTTTGAGCTTTAAATCCGTTCAGAAAATGTTGATTTGATCGAGTTTCGCCGATGCTAATTCTAAAGCTAACGGCTAAAGACCGGATATCATCAGAACGGTCCATAGGAAGTTGTCATAGACTCCTGCTGGCATAAATAAGCTTACACCACCACCTGCTGTTGAAAGAGGAGTATAACAGTTTTCCTGAAATGGGACTGATAATCTCCTCATTTTTTTTTTCATCCAACCTGGTTTACTGAGTAACTGTTAAATAGCGAATTTCTGGAAAAGAACGGCTTAAAAAAGCGTTTGAAAACTAAAGTTGCTGTGAGACTTTTAGAAAAATTGCAGGTTTATTTAATTTTTAGTGCTTTTGAGGAAATGGACACTGAAAAAGGCCTGGTTCTTGTATATGTTAAAAATAAGCACACTAAGTAACACTGCCAGAAAGAGGCATTTACTTAAAATTCATGCATTGGGGTGAATCTTACAATAAGTGCCCATTCCTTTGAATAAGTTGACTTATGACAGTACTATTGAGTGAACCCAGAGCTAAAATAGTGTGTGACTCACTGCTCACTTGAATACAAATATTTACCTGTTAAAATATCTGAAGTTGGCAACTGGTTAACCTGATAAAGGCTGAACAGTGAATAACCATGGCAGATGGGACAGAAAAAACTATTGAGGCTAAGATGGATTGGTTAGAGAAGGCGTTGGCGCAGCTGACAGAATCTTTAGATCCATATGGTGCACAGGTGGACAGCATGAACGTCAAAGAGTTATTGGAAGAGCTGGTGGAAGTTGCAGAGGGTGTGACCTCTACAGCTATAACAAAGTCAAGTTATAATCAGCTGGCTAAATTGGTGCTCTTATTGAAAGCAACATTATATGCTGCGGTAAACAAAGCTGACGACCTTGAAATAAGGTTAAACAGCGAAAGAGAGGAGGTTCAGGAAATTGAAGGACGCTTCCTTCAATTTAAAAGTGAACACGGGGTCCTCACTAAGAAACATCTGGAACAGATGACTCAGTCACAGCAAGACGCACGTGCAGAAATTGATTCACTGAACAGCCAAGTACAGTCACTTAATGCATCACTCACTGAAGCCAGGGATGCTAAAGAACTGTTTTCCACAGCATACTTTGCATTAAGACAGGATCACGACAAGACAATGTCACAAGTGTCCCGCTGCAAAACTGAGATAGACGTGCTTAAAACACAACTTTGCCATGCAGAAAGGAAAAATAGTGAAAGGCATGGACAGAATGTGGGGACACACTGGGTTCCAGACCCAAATCTCCTTACATCACACACACCTCCACCTTTACCTAAAGTAGCAGGGACAGACCTGATCAGGTCTCTTCTACCAAGCAGGCAAGAGAGACCATTGAAACTTCCTCTTTCAATAGATGAACTTCAAAAACTCTCAAAATATGTACAACGCTTTATTCCTGGGCCTATGGGTTCTACTGGTACAAAGGCGTATCTCAATGACCTAGATTTCAGACTGAGTGGTTATCCTAATGCTACGGTTGAGGATAAAATCAGTCTGATAAGGCTCACTTCGGACAGAGAGGTGTTCACCTTCATCGAGTGTCAACCTGATGCCACGAGAAGGGATTACAACCTTCTGTGTGAAGCTTTGATCAGGGAAT